AATTTTTTTTTTTTTTTTTTTGAAGAAGAAAAACTAATTAAAAACGAGATAAGATTGATAAGAAGAAAAACAAACAAAAAAAAAAGAAAAATTTATTAAAGAAAAAATGAAATTTTCTCATTTATTATTCATAATAATGATACGATTACGATTAGAAATTTTCATTTATTTTCCATTTAAAATAATAATAATAATAATAATGTTAAATAATTTTCCGCACGAAAAAAAAATTTAAATTTTCATTCATTAATTTTCTTTTTTTTTTGGAATTTTTAAAAGTCGATAGTCTTTCCCCCCCCCCTACCCTCAACTACTAGTAAAGTTTACAAATGTTTATTAATCATAAAAACAAATCAATTAATGATAATAATAATAATCGTTAATTTAATAAAATATTTTGTATTTTTCATTCATAAAAATGAAAAAGGTAAAATAATTTCGTTTTGTTAACGTAACTTACGCACACACCCACGAAACAAAACGTCGTAACTTCCGTTAAATAAATCCCCCCTCGTCCCCCCCCCAAAAAAAAAAAATTAAATGGAAATTGGATATAACACGTTTTTAAATTTTCTTTTTTTAAACCAGTCATTTAATTATTTAATTCTTGGAAGAAACCAAGTCTTCTACGTCAAATCCTAATGTTGACTTTTGATACAAAAATTTTTTTTGGTTTTATTATATCTTTTTTCTACGTAACGCCATTTTTTTTTTTTTTTTTGTACTTTAAAAGTTTTTATTTATTCCGGTTATAAGACATAGTTTACACGCATTGACATTGACATTATTATTAAGAAACTTTAATAAATAGATTCTTTAAGTTTTATTAATGAAACCAAAAAATTTGGATATTTGTGAACCCCCCAGTGCCCCCCATCGATTCCATCAGTTAAAAAGGTTTTGATAGAAGTATTTTTTACCATGTCGAGTCAGTACAAAGAGGTCATTGTTATGATGATGATGATTCATAAATAATAATAATTAAGTGGGTTTTGTTGTCCTGTCTTCTTGTTTTTCTTCTTTTTCCAGCAAGAAACCATTAACAACTACGCATCCCGGATGTTATTGGGTTATTTAATACATCATGTTTTATTTTTTTTTAACACCTGATTAAATGAGGTAAGCATTTTATTTGGAACTATGGATATATGTAAAAAAAATTGTTACACCATATTGAATTTAATACACTCCCATAAAATTTATATTAAAAAAAAAAAAAAAAAAAAAATTGTGATTGATGAAAATAAATTATTAATTAATTATTTACTCACCATTTTTTATTTAATTTTAACAATTCGATAAAAATAAATAAATGATTGATTGATTGATTTTTTTTTATTTATTTATTGAGAAATTGAATTTTTATCATTTCGGGTTAAAAATTAATTAATAAAAAATTAATTAATTAATTTCGCATTAATAAAAAATTGATGAAATAATAATAGCGATAACGATGATATTTTACAATAATAAATTAATTATTATAATTAATTATTATTATCGTTATCTTTTAAAGAAAATCATTTATTAAGCATTTATTTTTAATTGATATTATTTATTTAAAAAAGTGATTTATTAATCAATAATTATTTATATTCTCACTTATTGTAAAAATGAGAAAAGAAAATTTTTTTGTTAACTGACATTTTTTTTTTTTTAATAATAGAATTAACTAATTTGTTTTATTTTTTTTTATTAAATTTTTGTATATTTTCTATTTGTTTACTTTTTTTTTTTCTTGTTTTAGAATATTTCACGGTGAAAAACTTTTTTGATTTTTTAAAATTATCATTTCAACATTATTGTTCGTTAGTAACGTTTCACATTTTCATTTTTGGCGGGTAATTTAAAATCGCGAGGGACCGTACAAATGGAAAAATGTAAATTTTAAACTCTAAAAAAACATTTTTTTCAACTATATATATATTATTATTATTATTTTTTTATTTAAGAAAAAAAACTAAATGAAAAATGTAGTGTCGAATTATTTATTTATTTAATTAATTGTCGAGTGTAAAAAAAATTTTAATCGGAAAGTAAATAATAAAATAAAAATGGCGGGGAAAAGTTTAAAATGACGTAATTAACGTTTTTTTTTTTTTTTTTTGGTGGGATGTTTCGAATCAATTTTAAGTTGGCAAAACTGATTATTGTATCAAAATGTCTTACTATCTACCGGTCAATTTAACAGTAGTTTTATCATTAGTTATTTTTATTTTCTATCTTTTAGGCTTACAAAATATATTAACGAGTTATCAAAAAAATGATTGTGAAATGACATTTATGTTTCAATATCCACAATTTGTGGTAAGTTTCAACCGTTTATTTATAATTTAATATTTAAAATAATTTAATTTGGATGTTTTTCAAATATTTTAATCTATTTTTGTATAATGAATATTTCAATTATTATTTCTTTTTGTTTTGCTTTTTTTTTAAATAATATGATTGTAAATTTATTGATATTAATTTAAAATTCATAAAAAAAAATTTTTGTGATTTTTATTATTTATTTTAAAAATTTTTAATGGTTCGTATTTACATGCAGGAAATATCATTACCTGATGAAATTCGTCAAAAGTATTTTAAATATACCCTATATGGGTACAGTGAAGGAAGTTTTACAGCTCAGTTGAGAAAAATGAATTTCAAGGGAATTCCAGTTTTATATATACCTGGCTCTAGTGGTTCACATAAACAAGGAAGATCATTGGCTTCTGTCAGTTTAAGAAAAAGTGTTAATTCTAGAGCTCCTTATCATTTTAATTATTTTATGATTGATTTTAACGAAGAACAGTCAGCTATTTTTGGGGGAGTTTTAGAGCATCAAACTAAATTTGTCGTTCATTGTATAAAAAAAATATTGTCGTTATATCAAAATAATGAAGGCACAAAACCGGAATCTGTTATTTTGATCGGTCATTCAATTGTATGTCATTAATAAGTTTTTTTAATGTTTTTTTTTTTTTTTAGATTTACAAATTCAATAAAATTAAGGGAATTCTTATTTTTTAGGGTGGAATTTTAGCCAAGGCTGCCCTTATGGATGATAATTTTGACTCAAAAACAGTTCGTTTAATAATTACACTGGCAAGCCCTCATAAATATCCCCTCGTTCAGTTTGATTCATACATTTCGACATTTTATCAAAAAGTTAATAATTTTTGGAATAACAACACAAATTTAAAACATGTTAATTATGTATCTATTGGTGGAGGATTTAAAGATTTGATAGTAAGACCAGATGTCACTTTTGACTCCAAAGCAGACTTTAGTGTTGCAGTAAGTAACTGAATTTTATTTCTTTAATAAATTCAATTTTGAACCAGGGAAAAATTTTTTCAGACAACTGCCGTTCCAGGAGTTTGGCTTTCGAATGATCATTTAAGTATAATGTGGTGTAAACAATTAATTTTGACAATAATCAGAGCATTATTCGATTCGATTGACATTTCCACAAAACAATTATCTTCTAATAAAGAATACATTAACTCTGTTTTCCAGTATCATTTACTGAAAGTTGGTAAAAATAAAATAAATTAAAATTTTTTTGAATGTTAATTGTAAATTTTTTTATGCGAGAGTTAAAAAAAAAATTACTTATTTAATTTAATTTTTTTTTTTTTTTTTTTTTTTTTTTTGGGATGAAGAGAAGTGCTGGAAAAAAATACTTTGGATCTCTTGTAAGTAGATTTTCATCATTTGAAAAAAGTACAAATTGGTATGAAAATTTACAACGACAATTCACGGTCACAAAAACACGTGGTGTTAACACAAACAATTACATAATGATAAGGTTGTTTTTGGAACCGAAAAATGAAATGGCATTTATAGAAGCAAAAAATTTAAACGTGAGAGACTGGGTGTACGTTTGTACGGCTGATTTAGTGTATAATTCCATAAGAATGTGGTAATTTAATTAAAAATATACTTGCTGAAAAATTTGTAACAACGATAAACTTATCAAATGTTATCATTTAATAATTTTTTTACGTTTTAGCGAAAGCGGAGAAAATTTATCAAATGAAACAGAAATAGCACCCGTGAATTCTGAACAAAAATACAAAAGGAAATTTGTTAATTTAAATTTATTGGAACTGAAACATAAATCTTTTTCTCACGTCATCGTCAAAATTCCTCCGTCGGATTCTTACGTAATATTTCTCCTTCATAATTTTATTTATTTTCGAATGTAAATATTGTGCATTGTTTATTTTTTATTTTTAGATGTCGGTGAGCGTTGATATTTATCAAAAATCAGAAAGAAATCTTAATTGCAACGTTCCGAGGATTTATTCGATCGTACCTGAAACGATTATCGAAAATACTCACGGTGATGCTCTCTACTATTCAATCAACCTAATAGGTTTCGAAAACATTTGGCAATCTTACGTTTTGACACTCGAATCGAATTCGTGTAAAAATTCAAACAATAATGCTGTTGTCACATTTAAAGTTCCATGGTTGAACGCGGATCAACATTTTTTTTTCGAGTAAGAATAATTTTTTTATTATTTTACTATTTATTTTATATTAACATCTTTAACATTTCACGTTTACAGAAACAAAGACGTTTTGATGGTTCCACTAAATTTAATGTCGCCCAAACCGAAAAACTCGGATGAATTTTTACATCCTGCCGTTAAATTAAATTTAGATCCGACGTGTAAATATAAAATAAAAATTCACACTTCCGTCATTGGAATATTTTCCCAAGGAGCTCGTTATTATTCTCTCATGTTACCCGCATTTTTGGCGACGGTTGCCATTCTCACGGTGAGACAACAAATTTTGTTTTTGGAAGAAAAAAAATGCGTTCTTTTTCATTCTGCTCTCTCGACGGCTGTCCGCCATTATTACCTCGTTCTTCAAGCATCGATATTAGGCTCAAAACTATTGGGGTAAATATATATTTTTAATATTCTCGATGGAAAATAAACCTCGTTTCTCGAACATTGAAATTAATTTTTTTTTTTTTTTTTTTTTTTTCAGGTTTGGAATATTTCTTTCGATATTTCCATCCCCCGATTTTTCAACGTTGACGGAATTAAATTTGGATTCATTTTTTTTGATTATTTTGCTTTATGCTGTTGCCATAATAGTCACATATGCGTTGGGAGCGGGTTGCTACGTGGCAATTGTCATGAGTAGTCAAATAGCTCGTAAAATGGCTCTACGGCAAGTGACAAAAGGATTTTATATTATTATAAAAAAATAAATCGATGTATAAAAAATTTAAAAAAAAAATATCTTTTCCACTTTCAGACTACTTGCCAGAGCCGTTTCCGGAATCATTAACTGGTCTGAATGGGTCATTTCCGCTTTGCATCAGGTGCCTTTAATCGCGGCCGTTTTATTAATATCATTATCACTTTCGACGTGCGGAGCTATTTCGTTATGGCTCGGAACTTTATTTTACTTTTTGAAAGTCAGTAAATTTTTTTTTTATAAATTCTAAAAAATGATAATAATAATAATAATTACAAGGGATCATTTTCCGAAAGGAAAATTTAAAATATCGGGCCATTTTCTTGTTTTTCCAGCTTTGCAAAATGTACGAAGAATATTTGGAAGAATTGTTTAATTATTCGCTGAAACTAATTGCAAAGACGGTGAAAAAAGTCGTCAACTCGAAAGAATCCCAAGAAAAAAAATTAAAAGAAATAAAAGGTGGGGGAGATGACGAAAAAGATTCGGAGAAAATCTCGGAAGAAATGGATTTATTATCAAACATTCATTTTCACACGTCTGTCTTTTTGATTTGGCTTTTGACGTCCATTTTGTACGTTCCCTCATTGCAAGCGTGGGCGAAAAATCATCGGTACAGCATACTACTCGAAAAGGATCCTTCTGCGATACCCAGCATAATCGTTTGTGCCTGCGGTGCCGTGTTATGGCAATCGAGCGTACCGAAAAAAAGCAAGTAAGTCAAATTTAATTAAAAAAAAAAAATAGAAAAACTATACGAACTTGACCTTCTTTCTTCCCCTTTGTTCTTTTTCTTTTTTAACAATTTTCCTCCCTTGTGGGATTTTTTCAGATTTTCCAAACCGACAGCAAACGCTCTCATGTTATTTGCCGTAGGATCCATTATTTACGGAACAATGTCCCTTTACAGATTAGGATACATATTAAGTGCAACCCTGTTAATATTATCCATCAATCAAATTTTATCATTTTGGTGAAGGGGGAAAGGGGGAAAGGAGGGGGAGGGGGCGGGAAAATTACTAAATAAATCGCCGCATTTTAAGACAATCGATAAATTCGAAAATAAAAAAAAACCAGCCGAACGTGTCACAAAAAATAATATTCTAGTCTAAAAATTAAACAAATTCGTCACAATTCAAATAAAATTCTCTAAAATATGGAGACGACGTTATTATCATTACTATCGCTATTTATTTATTTATTTACTTTAAATTAACGACAAATAAAAAAATTAATTAATTAATTATAAAAAAATTATTTATTTAAAATTTATATATATATACACGCGATTGAAATCATTTTTTTTTTTTTTTAAAAAACATTAAAATTATTTTTCTATTTTTTTTTTTTTTTCTC